AGGGATTTAGAACTTGAGGGGTTTGGGGGTCGCGAAGTACCTGAATGGAGTTTAGGGATTTCGGGTGCCTGGGGTTTGAGGGGCCTAAAGCCCAAACCCCAAACCCCAAACCCCAAACCCCAAACCCCAAACCCCAAACCCTAAACCCTAATTGAGGGGTTTAGGGTTTGAAGGTTAGGCTTAAGGCTCCGGTTTACAGGTTAGGGCTTAGGGGTCAGGGTTGAGAGTTGAAAGAGTAGGGTTTAGGGGCTCAGGCGTGTTTAGGGGGTTGAGGTTGTCTGAGGGGGTTGTGTCGGGGATTGTCCCTAAACCCTACACCCACACCCATTGTCTTGTTGCGGAGAAGCCTAGGCCCAATCCTAAAGCGCAACCCTACACCATTTTGTGTAGTTTCGAGGGCTTTTCGGGTTTAGGGTTTAGGGTTCTAAGACCCTAAGCCAAAAGCTAACCTTACGGCTGAGGCACGGAGGCTGCTGCCGGGCGCCTCCGATGAAGCCGCAAGGCCAGCGTAGAAGGCGCTCGCCTGCTCGCGGTCATTGCTGCCATGGAGGGGTTTAGGGTTTAGGATTTAGGGTTTAGGGTTTAGGGCCTAGGGTTTCGGGTTTAGGGCTTAGGGGGTCGTTACACGGTCCCTTAGTATGGGCCCTTGAAAGGGGGTCCTTATATGTCCCTTATATATCCTGTACAAATGAAGGGCCCATACATCAGAACCCTTTAAAGAGAAGGGGACCATGCTAAGGGACCATGTAACGGCCCCCTAAGCCCTAAACCCTAAACCCTAAACCCTACACCCTAAACCCTAAACCCTAAACCCTAGGGTTTAGGGTGGAGAGCTTAAGGGTTGAGGGCCTTGGTCCGCAGCAAGTTGTCGCAGAGATGGGTTAAGGTTTAGGGTTTAGGGTTTAGGGTTTAGGGTTTTAGGGTCTTGGGGTTTAGGGTTTAGGGTTTAGGGTTGGGCCCTAGTAGGCGCTGAGAAGCCCTTAAACCCTTCAAGCAGTAAACCTTACAGCCCTTAAACCCTGAAAGCCCTTAACCCCTTGAACCCTAAACCGCAAACCCTACACCGAACGACAATCCAAACCCTTAACCCCAAACGCAAGGTTTAGGGTTTCCAGGGCTTTAGGGCTTCTCGGATCAACCCTTCAGAATGAACGCAAGATGCGCCTCACACATAGGTGTATTGAGCCTTTGTCCATAAAGCTTACCGGGTTTAGCCAGAGCCCTCAAAGGAGTTTTCTTCGCGCTTTGTCCAAATATTCTCTCTAGGAAGCCGCCCTAATCTCCAGGGCATCTTAACTTTAGGCTCAAGGCCCCCTCAGCTCTCGAAAACTCAGTAGCACTAAACCAAGACCCTAAACCCTAAACCCGAAAATCCGAACTGTAAGCCCAAGCCATAGAGCATACCTGGAACTCTACTTACCTACAGTAACTACCCCTCAACTCGTAGGAATGACCCATTAAGACTGTAGGTCAAGAGAGTCCCGGGGAGACCCTAAACCCTAAACCCGAAACCCTAAACCCTAAACCCCAAAAGCCTAAACCCTAAACCCTAAACCCTAAACCCTAAACCCTAAACCCTAAACCCTAAACCCTAAACCCTAAACCCTAAACCCTAAACCCTAAACCCTAAACCCTAAACCCTAAACCCTAAACCCTAAACCCTGCCTGGGTCTGTGCCAGGGGATTTACTGTACTGCCACGGGAGCTTCCCTGGGCGGGTGCTCTGGGAGAGGGCTTCGGCTGCAGGATTGAGAGTCTTGATGCGGTTCTTGCAACCCTAAACCCTAAACCCTAAACCCTAAACCCTAAACCCTAAACCCTAAACCCTAAACCCTAAACCGAGGGTTCGCCACGAACGGCCGGCCAAGTGCACTAAAGGCTTATGGGATTTAGGATTTGGCCTTGGGGCTACCACGTCCACTGGAACCGACGTACATTTCTAGAGGCAGAGGGCCCAAGCCCTAAACCCTAAACCCTAAACCCTAAACCCTAAACCCTAAACCCTAAATCCTAAACCCTAAACCCCTTAGCCGCTGAAACTCTCCAGTGGTGAGTAAGCCTTTGGGGTCAGAGAAGTCAGGGGCGCACCGGAGCCTCTGAAGTGTACCCTTGGGATTGCACAGGGGCTTAGGGCTTTTTGGGGGTTTGGGGGTTTGGGGGTTTGGGGGTTTGGGGGTTTGGGGGTTTGGGGGTTTGGGGGTTTGGGGGTTTGGGGGTTTGGGGGTTTGGGGTTGTGGGTTTTGGGGAATTGGGGTTTGGGGTTTATAGGGTTTAGGGCTTAGGACACTAACACTAAGCCCCATCCAAACAAATAGAGGTTCCCAAACTCGACGACGAGGAAAAAGGGAACCCTGAAGCTCTGAAGCCCCTAAGTTATGGATGCACATTGTGTCCTACCATTTGTTTGGAACCCTAACCCCTAAACCCTAAACCCTAAACCCTAAAACCCTTTTGGTTTCTCAAGGTCGCCTACACGCCTTGGAGCCGGGTCCCTGGCCGTGGTTTCTGAGGCAGCACACCTGGGGGGGGTTTAGGGTTTCGGGTTTAGGGTTCAGGGTTTAGGTCTCGTTTTGCGGGGCGGGCTTGTTGTGCCTGGAGGGTTGCTCATTGTGTTTGAGGATTGCGACAATAGAAGGGAATGTTCCGGTAAAAGGTTGCAGGGTCCAGGGTTTGTGAGGGCGCGTGGAGATATGTCCCGGACACCAAAGCTGCTTTCGTTCAGGGTTTTAGGGTTCTTGTTGGTTTTAAGCCCTAAGCCCTAAACCCTAAGCCCTAAACTTGGCCCTAAACCCCTATTCTCTAAGTCGCCGCAAATACCCCCTAGTGAAGGCGAAGTATGCCTGCCATGGAGGTATTTAGGACCCTAAACCCTCAGCCCTAAGCCCTAAACTCTACAAACCCTCAGGGTTTCTTATGATCAGTATGTACTTGAAGGTTCTCGGGAGTAGGGCTCAGGATTTTGGGCCCGGGCCCATGACAGGGGCTAAGGGTTTGGTTTAATGAGGTTAGTCCAGTAGCGCTCAGCTGTCAGGGTGTTATTTGTGGTTTAGGGTTCAGGGGTTCATTGTTCAGGGTTGAATTAGGGGTTTTGAAGTCCCTCCAATGGCACTACCAATGATCTACCGAGAAACTATGAACTGCTTAACAACCCCGAAAGTTAAAAACGTATCTGCGTTATTACGGGTAATGGGTAATATTATAATATAGGGATAATTCTTATTTATTCTTTTGGGGTTCTTAAGCAAATCGTAGGAAAGGTGTTCCGGGCTGCTGAAAATCAGCAGTTGCTTGCCACCCGGCAGTGTGTGGGAGGCGAAATTCAGAGTTCACGGAGCGGCCCGTGAGACTATAAACGGGCTCCTTAAACCCCAGGGTTTAGGGTTTAGGGTTTAGGGTTTAGGGTTTAGGGTTTAGGGTTTAGGGTTTAGGGCCAAGTTTAGGGCTTAGGGTTTAGTAGGGAGTGTGGGGAATGGATACCCTATAGAATTCCTAAAGGGAATGTATGTAGTCATTCCCTGCCAAGAACCATCCTAAACCCTAAACCCTAAACCCTAAACCCTAAACCCTAAACCATCCTAAACCCTAAACCCTAAACCCTAAACCCCAAACCCTAGAGAAACTCCTCCCTTGCGGCCCGGTCGGCCACTCCACGGTGCCAAAGGAAGCCCGACGTTGGCGCATGGTTGTGGAGAGGGAGCCAGCCATGGCTTTAGGGTTTAGGGTTTAGGGTTTAGGGCTTAGGGCTTAGGGCTTAGGGTTTAGGGTTTAGGGCTTAGGGTTTAGGGTTTAGGGTTTGGGGTTTGGGGTTCTAAGCGTTGTAGGAATGGGCGTTGGAACTTGCTATGCCCTGGCGCCTCAAGCTCTAGACCCTAAATGCGTTGTGCACTTTTTCAGTGGTTGGCGGGCCCCGGGGCGACAGAAGGGTTGAGGAATTGGGGCTTTGTTCCTTGATAGCCGTTTGGATGCCTCGGGGGTTTAGGGTTTAGGGTTTAGGGTTTAGGGCTTAGGGTTTAGGGTTTAAGGTTTAAGGTTGAAGGTTTAGGGTTTAAGGTTCAACGGTGCAGGATATTGCAACCTTCAGGGCTTTCAATAGCCATCCCTGCACGACACAGGCGACCGTGGATCATGACGGAGCGAAAGGCTTGCAGCAGGAGCGCGCATATGCTGCCTATCCTTGCCCCTAAACCCTAAACCCTAAACCCTAAGCCCTAAACCCTAAACCCTAAACCCTAAACCCTAAACCCTAAACCCTAAACCCTAAACCCTTCAGAAAAGGAAAAAGAAATGGTATGTCGTCTGGCATCTCATGCAGTGCAGAAACTCACCTGAAGCCCGAACAACCCTTAGGGTTTAGGGCTTCAGGTTAACTTAAACTTCTTCTTGCCCGCAAAAGCCCTTCAACAGCTTGCTTAGGTTTGGAGTATGTAACCCAACTTGTGCTTCTCAGAACTAGGGCCCCCTAGTTAAACGCATCGTTAAGCTATGTACTTGTAACCGTAGCCCAACCCTATAGCTTCTCTGAGATCACCGTCCCGCACACCTAAAATCTCACATGCTGCCTGGGGTGACAGAACTAAGGCTTTTCGCCAACCCAAGCGGGACTTCAGTTGCCATTTGTTCCGTTGGGCTTTGCTTCGGGGTTTCATTCTAGTGACGGATATCGGGTCGCGGTCTAGTTGTAGCGCCGCATCGCTGCGACATTTCGGTAGGGTTTAGGACGCTGATGCTTGGTGCATGGTTTTCCCATCATGTCTGCCGGGATCCAGTCCATCATGCTGCACGATCTGTGCGCGGGCAAAGGCTTTACAGAAATGCCTACGCAGCACGGCAACAAGAAACCAATCTAGCGCAAGCACAACATAGATGAGGGCGGTTGCACACCCATCTAAGTTGCGTCGCGCAGCCCTTCACACAGCCTACAGGGCCACTGCTCACAGCATGCACATGATTGGTGCCTCATGCCTGCGGCACCACGCATGTTCCGCATGCGCTTCGAAAGATCAGCGCATAGCTGCGCGCCTTCCGAAGCAGATGCGCGAGTGGTACTTGTTAGGCCTGTTCCAGAGCCTAGGCTCTCAGTAGGACACCAAAAAATGTTAAAGGGCGGCGCCCTTTCTGCGTTTAATGTGCGGCTGGAATTCTTGAAACTGACCCCCACAAAAGTATGGGAGAAACGGGCACCACTGTGGGTCCGAGGAACTTGGCGGTGACCACATTGACCCGCGCCTGCTTCAACACGTAGAGCGTGCGGTTGTTGAAGCTGTAGTAGTTGCCACCATGTTCGAAGACCGTCAGGCCCATGTCGTTGGGGTCTATGTCGCCCGCGCGCAGGTCGCCGATCACATCCGACAAGAAGCTTCCCGCGAACTCCCCGTGGCGGAAGCGGCAGGCGACCGTCTCCTGCGTGAAGAAGCAGTCCGAGACCTGCAGGCTGATGAAAGAATCCTCGGTAGCCCAGGAACCATCTTGCAATAAGGGCAATTGCCCTTTTCGGGGTTGGCTTCTGTATCAGCGATTCTTGAACCAATATCATTACCCTATTTTGGGTTGGTTACTGTATAAGCGAGCCTTGAAGCAAAGAAAGGGCAAAAGGTTACCACTGGGCTACCAAGAATCGGCGGCAGTGCTGTGGCGCCGTGGTGCGCGGGCGAAGATGTCATCCTCACTGTCCGAGTCAAAGAACCTGTCCCGGAAGAGGAATGCGTCATCATCGTCATGGAAACGATGGCGGAGGGACATCTTCTCCAGGTGGATGCAGCAAGTGCTCGGTTCACAAGGCTGCCTCTGCTCGAGCCACTTCTTGTGCGACAGTGGGAACCTCGTGGCGGCAAGGCCACATTCGCCTTAAGTTTTGAGGGCCGAACTGTCAGTCCTAAAGCCCCAGTGAAGCCGCCCCAACTCCGCCCCAGACAGGACACACAAAACAAGAACACGAGGGTTTTGAGGTTGGGGTTTAGGGTTTGGGGGTTGTGCAGTTGGATGTCCCACCGTTCAAAAGCAAAAGCCAGAGATCTCTAAACCCTAATTCGAGACCCCATCTGGGCGTGTTCGGGAACCCTAAACCCTGAACGGTCTCAGGGGTTTGGGTTCTGAGACACGCCAAAACTGATTCCGAGCACCCATGAACATCTCGGTGCTGAGGGGTGAAAGGTTTCCGACCCCCGATCCCCCCTGAATGCTCCAACCCTTGTGCCCATGCAACATCACTACCCCCAAAAACTGACCCTAAGGGTCCATGTACCTCATTATTATAGACTTGGGCCCCAAAGCCCCTGAATAGGAAGTACATTGAGGCCCAAGTATTCAATATTTAGGTACATGGACACTTCACTTAGGATGAGAAGAGGAGCCCTCAGAGCGTTTTCGGGTTGAATCTTGAGCTTCCTGAAAAAAGCCTCCAAGCCCGACAGGCTGCGGTTTAGGGCTTAGGGTTTAGGGTTTAGGGTTTAGGGCTTAGGGGTTAGGGCTTAGGGGTTAGGGCGTAGGGTTTCGTGTTAAGGGGTCCCTAAGCCCTAAAGTCCTAAAAACCTGAAACACTGGGCACAATACCCTAAGCCCTAAAGCCCTAAGCCCTAAAACCCAAACCAACAGCCTAAAAATCTAAGAGCCATCAAACCCTGAACACTTCAACCCGCCCCGCCCCCCCCCCCCCCCTTGCACCTTTAATCCCTGAAACCCCACATGCTAAACCCCAAACAGTAACATAACCCTAAGCCCAGAAAGCCCGAGAACAAGCCAAGCGAAAGCCTTCAAACCTTCAGCCTGTAAACCCCGAAGCCACGAGACCAGAAATTTCTAAACACAAACCAAAGACAATGCTTAAAACCAGAACCCAAAACCGAAACCCGAAACCCGAAACTCGAACCCTAAACCCCCTAAACCCCCTAAACCCTCTAAACCCCCTAAACCCGGTAAACCCTAAACCCTAAACCCTAACCCCCTGAAGGCCCGCGCGCAGCGCCACAAGCAGCTCGGAGCTCTGTGCAGAGAGGACGCCACAAGGAGCTGCCTATTGCCATACCAGGGCAGGGTTTAGTGTTTAGGGTTTAGGGTTCAGGGTTCAGGGTTCAGGGTTCAGGGTTTAGGGTTTAGGGTTTAGTGTTTAGGGTTTGGGGGGGTGGGGGGGAAGTTTGTTTTTGCATGTAGGGATTGGGGCTCAGGGTCTTGTGGGCTTTGGAGTTTAACCTAGGAACAGAAAGGGAGCCCATTGTTGCTTACGGAAGAGGGCTGAGCGTTCGGGGCTTAGGGAAGTTTGAAGGTTTGGGGAACTAGAACCTAGGCACTCTACAGTGCCCAATCCGAAGTACGTGCTGGGCTTTAGGGTTTAGGGTTTAGGGTTTAGGGTTTAGGGTTTAGGGTTTAGGGTTTAGGGTTTAGGGTTTAGGGTTTAGGGTTTAGGGTTTAGGGTTTAGGGTTTAGGGTTTAGGGTTTAGGGTTTAGGGTTTAGGGTTTAGGGTTCCCAAACTCGACCATGATGATGGCATGCCTTTCCATGCACCTTTAAGAACTGTCTCCCGAAAAGGTTCTACACATTTGACCCTCCAACGCCCTAAACCCTCTAAACCCTCTAAACCCTATAAACCCTCTAAACCCTCTAAACCCTCTAAACCCTCTAAACCCTATAAACCCTATAAACCCTATAAACACTACAAACCCTACAAACCCTACAAACCCTATAAACCCTATAAGCCCTACAAACCCTACAAACCCGATAAACCCTAAACCCTGAACCCTATAGCTCCACAAGCCGCAAAACAGAACCGCGGCTGCCCCTCAAGCGCCCAAACCCCGAAAGCACCCGGAAACAGCAAGGAGAGAACGAGTACTATGCCATGAGCCCTGGGTTGTAAGGGGTTTAGGGTTTAGGGTTTAGGGTTTAGGGTTTAGGGTTTAGGGTTTAGGTTTGGGGTTTGGGGTTTAGGGTTCAGGGTTTAGGCCTCAGGGTGTAGGTGGGGGAAGTCTGCCCCAAACCCTATACCCAAAGCCATACATGGGCATTTCCCCAAAAGGGGGTACCCCTTTTATACTCCGAATGGAATAGAATCCCCTTAAATTAAAGGAACCCCCAAAAAAGGGTATCCCAATTCTCGGAAACCCGCAAATGGGAGTTAGCGAAAATAAGGGAATGCTTTCATGGAGCCCCAAATAGTAGGATTCCCTTATAATAAGGACCCCCCAAAAAAGGGTGCCCCCTATCTTCGGAAACAATAAACCCTAAATCCTAAAACACCGGAAGCCCCTATATATGTGTATATGTATATATATATAACACCTTTATGAGAACTGTAGTAGAAAACAGTTCTTTTCGGAAACCCTAAACCCTAAAACACCGGAAACGCCTATATTACATTCATAGGAAATTATAGTAGAAGATCCTATAAACCCTAAACCCTAAACCCCAAACCCTAAACCCCTACATTATATTGCCTTTATGGGGTCTTTCGTAGGAGAGGGTAGATCGCCACAGTTGGGGGGATTGAGGCCCGTGCGTAGAATCCTCGATCCCAGGGTTCCTGCGCCCACGGAGAGCTTGCTTTGTGTATGGGGTTTAGGGCTTAGGGTTTAGGGCTTGTGGGGTTTAGGCCGTTTAGGGTAGCGGCTTCAGAATTAGGGCGTAGGGTTCAGGGCGTTTAGGGCAACGGCTGAAACATGTAGAGCTTGGGGTTTAAGGGGCTTGGGGGTAGAAGACGACTTAAGATTTAGGGCTTGAGGTTTCTGAGGTTGTAAGGCAACGGCTGAGGGTTAAGGGCTTAGAGTGTTGGGGGGTTAGGTCTTGAGTTGGGCTTTTAGGGTTTAAGGGTTTAAGTTGGGTTGAGGTCTAGGTCTAGGGTTCCTTGTATGGGCCCTTCATCTGAATTCCTTGCTTTCTAACCCCTATATACGCCCCAAAGGGTCCATGTACCTATATGGTAGATACTTGGGCCTTTAAAGGGTTCCTATATAGTAACTTCAGGACCGAAGTACATACTATATAGGTACATGAACCCTATATACACTAGACATAATAGCTTCGGATCCCGATAAACAGGCTTCAGGGTTCAGGGTTTAGGGTTAGCGTTTAGGGTTTAGGGTTCAGGGTTTGGAGGTTTATGCTTTGGGGTTTAGGGTGTTTAGGGCTGGACCATGGGGCTGACTTCGGGTGCCTTAGCTTTTGGGGGCTTAAGGTGCTTACGGGTGGTTTACGGATAACCCTACACCCAAACCCCGTAAACCCAAACACCCGAAACTCCTACATGATGCCGAGCGGCGGCCGTGTTGATGAAGCCCCGGGCAGAGTCCAAAGGAATGCCGCACACGGCGGGCGTCGGGGACCTCACTGCAGATTCCAAAACAGGTCCCCGTTCGTTGGTGCGGGCGGGTCGGATGTTGTACGGGGAGGGGAGCAGAACGCTTATATATCCAAAAAACGCATACCAAAGCCTATATGTATACATATATATATAGTATACATATATATATATATATAACATATATACATAATGCACACACCCTATCACTACAGCGCATGTACAATCATCCGCAGTGGATGCTCATCCCGCCCTGGAGCACTTGGCACGACATCCCCAAGACTGGAGGATTCAGGTTTTGTTTAGGGCTTAGGGTTCGGTTTGGGGTCGAGGGTTTAGGGTTTAGGGTTTGGGGTTTAGGGTTTAGGGTTTGGGGTTTGGGGTTTGGGGTTTGGGGTTTGGGGTTTGGGGTTTCGGGTTTGGGGTTTGGGGTTCGGGGTTCGGGGTTTGGGGTTTGGGGAAATCCCTATACCACTTGGGGCGTTTAGGCGCTTTTGGGTCTTGGGAGCGTAGGGTGGTGTCCAGAGATTCTGACTTGGGCATTGGCTTTCAAATTTTAACATCAAGAGAAGCTTGGAGCTTCCGGATTTACATAAGAAAGAGCTTTGTTCATTGGAGCCTCTTTCGTTGACATCATATGGACTTCGCCACGAAACTCAGGATTTCTTACTGATTTCCCTAAGAAGCTCAAACCCAAAAGCCTTTTTGAAGTGTTTGGAGTTTGACTGGGGTTAGTGCATCTGGAGCTTGTGGCTTAGGATTCAGAGCTTGTAGGTTTTGGGATTAGGGTTAAGGCTCTGGAGGGAACAGCTTAGGGTGTAGGGATTCGGGTACAACTTGGGACCGAACAATATAGGGTTGCAGGGTTGAGCTGGCACTCATCGCTCTTCGCAAGTCAGGTCGCCACGACCTCCGCAAAAGAATATCCGGACTGGGCACACTCGTGTTTGGCGGAGCGATCTCGGTCGCAGCCCCAAGGCGGGCCTCGGGGAGACCCCTCCCGGTAGCTGGCCAACCCTAAACCCTACACCGCCTAAACCCTAAACCCTCAGCACGTGGTGAGGTTGCCATGCACGGTGAGCCGACTGGCTGGAGGTCAGTAGCGCATGGAAACGACGCTGTCCCGATCGTTGCTCTGGACCCTAAACCCCAAACCCATCTCGCGACTTCGTTTTTCTTCGCGGCACCAAAACAAGGGCACTTTGCACGGGGTTGATTAAACCCTTCCGCCCCCATCCTAAACCGCAAGCCCTAAACACCTGAAACGTAAACCCCTGCTTACTTAATTACCCTCAACCCTATTCAACAAATCGTCTAGACTCCGCTCGGCCCACGCAACCCCAGAATCCGCCGAAAAAGGGTTTAGTTGAACCATAATGCCCAAAGCCCTAAACCCTAAACCCCTAAACCCTAAACCCTAAACCCTGAACCCTCGAGCGTAAAGTAAAGCCA